ACTCTTATCAGCAACTAAAACACACTTTTCTGTCCCAGAGGAAGGATTTTATGAGAAACTAGCTGGCTCCATCGCACCAGAAATCTACGGGCACGAAGACGTCAAGAAGGCCCTGCTCCTRTTGCTGGTTGGAGGAGTGGAGCAAGCCCCTAAAGGCATGAAGATCAGAGGTGAGCACAGATGATRCATTACATTTTTATTTATTTATTTTCTCTCTCTTAAACCTATAATTTACCTTAATGACTTCAGCGTATTCTTGAGAGTGTTTTAATCAGTTTTCTGCTCATGAAAACCTTGATTTGATTAAAATATTTGGATCGTTCTGTCTCTCCCCCCCCACACACACACACACATCAAGGTAATATAAATATCTGCTTGATGGGAGACCCTGGAGTTGCCAAGTCCCAGCTGTTGTCCTACATTGACCGACTGGCTCCTCGGAGTAAGTCTTCTATCTAGTTRAATATATTATTTAGTAAGCTATTTTATTTTTCCATTGAAGCCTGCTCTGTGAAATATTAACCTGTGSGGTTGAGTGCTTTCTTAGTTATGCTGACTTCTGACTAAATATAAAAGAAACATTCAAAAGAAATATATTTTAAAATACTGGCTTAATAATTCCAGATTTAAATATTTGTTTATTTCTAATACTTGTTTGTTGTGGTTTTCAGGTCAGTACACAACAGGTCGGGGGTCATCTGGRGTCGGTCTGACGGCAGCTGTGATGCGGGACCCTCTGACTGGTGAGATGACGTTGGAAGGGGGTGCCTTGGTGCTGGCTGACCTGGGCGTCTGCTGCATCGACGAGTTCGATAAAATGGCMGACGCTGACCGAACGGCCATCCACGAGGTGATGGAACAGCAGACCATCTCCATCGCGAAGGTATTTGCTTCTATAATCAGCGGAACAGATCTGAAATCCAAACGGGTTTAAGAATGTGGCTTTCTTCTCTGCAGGCCGGCATCATGACMTCCCTCAACGCCCGTTGTTCCATCCTGGCCGCAGCCAACCCAGCCTACGGCCGCTACAACCCCCGGAAGAGCATCGAGCAGAACATCCAGCTGCCGGCTGCGCTCCTCTCCCGTTTCGATCTGCTCTGGCTCATCCAGGACAAACCGGACGCCGACGCCGACCTGCGTCTCGCTCAGCACATCACCTACGTCCACCAGCACTCCCGCCAACCCCCCACGCACTTCACCCCCATCGACATGAAACTGATGAGGTGACCTGATTTCTGTTAGTTCTTGTGACAAATCTGCCATTATCAGGGATGCAAGTTATCGATTAATGGATTAATCTAAAGTTGGTTGATCTTTTCGATCGACTAAGTGGCCATTTTCTTAAAAACCTGATATTTCTCTTRAATCAAGGGTCTTTCTATGACATGAAGGGCTCATCTTTTTACATGCTAAATTAAAAAAAAGTACAGTATTTAACAATTCATTGTGCCAGCTGTGTTAAACACTGACTGAATAAACTGAAAAATGTGGATTTCTCTCACATTAAACATTCTTAAACAAAACAGGAATCTGTTAGGCTGCTAGTTGAAAAAAATATAATAATTAAAACACTTAATCTACTTAAAATGATGAAAAACTGTCATTTAAACACAGGGTAATATTTTAAGATAACTCAAAAACAAACTAAACATAAATATCCCTGAAAGACGTGAGTACAAATGAGTACTGGCAATTGTTTGTTTACATTCCCTGTGGTTCTATCTGGGCTGCCCGCCGTGATTTGACGTCAGCTACTCTTCATTTCATTGGCTCACTGGCCAGGTTACATCACACAGATGAGATTAACTTTCAAGTTAATTTTTTGTAGCGACTGTAGCTTTTTTTTTTTTTTTTTTCATACAAGTTAAACTCAACAAAAAGAAGCTATTGTTAGCCACAGTTAGCTTACTGTTCTCTGTCTTCCTGCTCTGTTGTTTTAAGTGTCGTGCTGCTTGACGGTCCGGTACAGCCTTCGGTACTTTTCCGTCCAGTTTGGTGTCATCCATTATTATTGTTGTGTCACAAATAAAACTGAACAAGATTTGCGCGTTTAATTATGAGGCCCTCTGCTCAGCTCACCAGGGCTAGGGTAGAGAAGGGCCAGGCTGAGAGCAGCGGTGCCCTCTACTGGATGAAGTCAAAACTACACTGAAATAAGTTTTGAACTAGTAAACCATTATTTGACAGTTAATTGTAAGTTGATTGTTTGCATCCTTAGTCATAATTAAAAATCCTAGTCATAATTTAAAAAAAAATAGAAACACAGTTGGAGTAAATTAAGATTAAACGTTTGGTTTAAATGTATTTTTCAGACGTTACATCGCTCTGTGTAAAAAGCGCCAGCCTGTTGTGCCGGAGTCCCTGGCAGATTACATCACCGCTGCTTACGTTGAAATGAGGAAAGAGGCTCGAGTCAGTAAAGATACCACCTTCACCTCAGCGCGTACCCTCCTTTCCATCCTCCGCCTGTCAACTGCCTTGGTGAGTACTTGTTTAAAATTAACAATTTTTTATTTGGTAGACTTATTTTGTGTTCGGTGTGATGGATTTAAATGGTGGAAAAGTTTAATTTTGAGGTGAAGATCTAATACGTTTTGTTAAGTCTGTGAATTTGCTTTGATCAGTAGTTGAGTGTGTGATAAAGTGCTTACAGTGCAGGTAGTGATGATAACCTGGTCTACTGCAGTGTGAGCACTTCTTTCACACACTGGACAAACTCTACATTCTTACAGAACCAAAACAAAAAAAATGTTTATCTGCATCAGTTATATGTTCAGAGACACACACATGATGTCACATTCTCTGCCTCTGGTTGTCAAAAGTGCTGTTTGTGCAGGTAGCAGTCATCCACCTACTGCAAAACCAGCACTTCAGGTAAACAGGTAGGCACTGTGCTGCACACAGGTGTCCACCAGGGGGCACAATACTGCCAGCTCAGCTGTGTTGGAATAAATAATAATCTTACACCTCAGATTTGTTCTGTATTTGTTTTAGTGACTAGTTTGATCACGTGGGGGAATAAAAAGTAAGCTTCTGCTATTTTTCCGGTCCTGGCCAGCTTTGCAGGGTGGGCAGTCAGCCTGTGTGCTTTAGGACCAGCTGTGCAAACCCATGCAAAACTGACCATGGCCAGAACGGGTCACCAGCGTCCTCTTGTACGCCAGCTTCAGCTTACTGATGATTGTCCATGTTCCGACTGAGAGACTAGCTGGTTTTGAGAGGCGGAGACTTGAGCAATTGCTGACCATCCCGGAGGGCATTGCACTTGTCTCGGTCTGACAGTGCCGGCACAGCGCAGCCTACGTCCACCCCTGAAGTYCAGTAAGAAACGTGTGTGCGATTGCGTGCATCTGCAGTCTAACAACTTGTACTTCCTCCCACACGTCCGTCTTCAGGCTCGACTTCGCATGATGGACACGGTGGAGAAGGAGGACGTCAACGAGGCTATGAGACTCATGGAGATGTCAAAGGATTCTCTGCAAGCTGACAAGTCCAGCACCACCAGGTTAGTTTAAAACGTCACAACAGCGTTTAGTCAGCTCGTAGCACCAGATGTTTTCTGTTTGTTTTTGTTTTTTTGTTGTTGTATTTTAGTCACAGTAGCTACTTTTTCTGGAGGAAGCTATAAAACCTATTTATGAGTCTTGTTTAGATGTTTAAACTTGACATCGTAACACTTTGAATTTAACTTCTTCAGCTTTGTAATATGGTTAAATGGATTCTTTGCTCAAATATTTTCTTCTAGAAAAAAGTTTGGCCTCTAATAACTTGACTGCCAGCTGGTAGAGAGTAGGGTTGGGTACCGAATTCATTTMATTTYATTTAAGTTTATTTGATAGGGACAGACACATATCAACRTAGACAAACTGAACAAGACAGCAGTCCCACACTTGCGTCATGGTGCAGTAGCGGYAGCTAATTCGCAGCAYTTGTCCCTAGATGGGCTTTTTTAAAAAGTACATCTATAAAATWGAAATGATAATCATTAAAACATGGCACACAAAAAAAGTGACAKCATCTAAAAACAATCAGTGAAACGTAAAAACATCAAAAATGGATACAGGTCTGTTTTTGACATTGCCAGAGCGTTGTATTATTATTATTTTTTTAATGTTATGAAACTGGTTACGGACTTTAAATCAACAGGAAGTGAGTTCATTCGATACTTTTATAAGTACTGATCGAATTCTGTCGGTACTACTGAGTAACTATTCACGTAACATCAAACGGTATCATGTTTCGGTACCTAAATGCATCATATTTGTTAAATTTTATATATTGAGAAATATGTTAAATACAAAAAATAAAAAAAAGGTTTATTTTTAAAAAAACAACACTCACAAAGTACCGGAAATCGGTACCGTTAAATACTGGTACCGATTCCCCGTGTAGGATTTACACCCTTCTTTTATAAGAAGGTTATAAGGAAAGTACACCAGGTACAGGATATTGGTACCGGATCGATTCAAATCTCAAAGGTACCCATCCCTAGTAGAGAGTCATGTTGTGCGACCAAACGTCGACTCGTTCCAAAATCTGAACCCGCCCGCCCCTCCCTTTTTTGCAGAACGCAGCGCCCGTCCGACGTCATCTTCTCTCTGGTGCGCGAGCTCGCCACCGAAGGCTCGGCGGGGCGCGGCGGAGCAGGCAAGGTGGTCCGCATGGCCGAGGCCGAGCAGCGCTGCGTGTCCCGCGGCTTCACGCCCGCTCAGTTCCAGGAGGCACTGGAGGAGTACGAGGAGCTGAACGTGTGGCAGGTCAACCAGGCCCGCAGCCGCATCACCTTCGTCTGAACACACCGGGGACTCGTCCTTCGCACCACGCTTCGTTTCATCCACCTGGTTTTTGTTTTCCAGATCAGTGTTGGGGCTCTTTATGTTGTTGCATCCAGCATTTTGTAACACGAGTCAGGCAGAACGTGGACTTCCTTTACTGCCYGACTAATATGAAAAGAACATCTGCTGCTGCAGATCAAATGCTTTTTATGTTGAGGATTCCTGTTAACTATTAAACTGCTTGTAAATATGTACGTCAGAACATGTTATAGTGTAATATCGATTTATTCCCCAATGCTTCCAGTGAAGCAATTCTGTACATTTTATACTTGTACGGCAAGTTGGGCACAAATATTAAGCCTTGTATGAGAACAGAATTATAATAAATGGTTCAAGTACTTCTGACTCCTGTGTGTACATGAAACGGTACGAAGCATCCTGCAATCATCGCGCCTCAACACCTGGTTTGGATGTGCAACAGCCTGGTTCGGGTTCAGAACCGCCTGCCCACAAAATAACACCTTATAGTCTTATTTAAAAACAAAAATACAACTTCTGTTTTTTGCAACTTAGATCCCCTGAAAATTGACCAAACCCTTAAAATATTTGTAATTATACAGCATGCTAAAAGATTTAACTTGTAAAACCCTCAAGTTCTTTTGAAGTTTAAAGTTTGGGGGCAAATTTGGGTGAGTTTCTACGTCCACCAGGCATGATGGATTCCTGCATGATGGCTGTAATTTTAAGCTCGTTCAATTTATCGATTAACATTCTGAGAAGATCGATAAATGAATGTTTGATAGTCATCCTCTGTACCAGATTTGTTAGAAAAAAGAGCTGTTCTCAGGACAAAATGTCAATCTTTATTTAAAATCAAGGTTTATAGTAACTAAGTACATTTACTTTATTACAGTACTTGCATAATTTTTTTTGAGGATTTGTAATGTTACCAAGTATTTTTTTTAATCGTTACTTTTACTTAGTTACTTTTAAAACCTAAAAATGATACTTTTACTCCTTTAAAGTTTAACACATAGTTATAAATTAAATCTGAACTCATGAAAGGAGTTGTTGATGTGCTCTAAAAAAGTAAGCATTGAATTTACTCAAATAAATCATAACTACTTCCACTAAATCTAGTAGAGTAAATCTGAGGCGATATACATATTTTATTTGAAAAAAAAAATTGACCAATTTAATCAACTTGGTTTTGTGGAGCCAGTTTGGTTCATTTGTTAGAGAGCGTGGAAAAGTACTTTTACTTTTCTACTTTCCCAAAGTTTGAACAGTTTTATGACTTGAATAGTTTTCTCATCAGTGACAGTTATTTTTACCAAAGTCATTTTCTGTTAAAGCATTTTTAATTTTACTTAGTAATTTTTTTAAGGAACTTATTTATATATTATATATTTAAGTAACGTACTTTATTTATTCTGTTTAAAATAAATGTTTGGAGGCTTTGTGGAACTTTTATCTGCTGCTTATTTGTGCTGAGATTTTCAATAAGCAGCGTTTTCTCCACAGCTGCTGTTCTCCCAGCAGGTGATGATTTCCTTCCAGAACCTTAATTGGGAGTTTCTATTTGAAGTTTTGTCTTTATGGCCTGGATCCAGGGGCCCAGTTTTTTCCCCTAACTGGTGCCAAAGGCCCCACTTTAAATAACGTTTAAATGGGAGGAGGAGAAAAGGTTTTGGTCTTAGGTTTAGTGAGATTCTATTGGACGGTGGGGGGAATGGTTCAGAGCAGCTGATGGGGGGACTGGTATTTAGCTCGACTCGGCCCTGTTCGTCCGGTGAAGACGGCCTCCTGAGCCAGGTGAGTCCAACATGCTTCTGTGTTTTTATCTGCTGAGGAAATGTAACGTTTAGCGTGTAGCTCTTAAACCAGGATGGTTTCATAAAGTTATATTTAGGAGGAGATTTCTGCTATATTTAATAAAGATTTTTAACTTGGACAATCTATCACAACTGTAATATTTCAGTGGTTTTCTGGGCTGCAGGTTCAAGATGTTATCATTATGCTTGCTGGGGCAACTTTGCTGCTTTATACTTCTCTCAGGTCAGTTTTTTTTTTTTTTTCACAAACTTAAAAAAAGAAGAAAAAAAAACAGCTGCTGTAAAT